GAAATATGCCCTTAAAGAAATTGACATAATTTGAGGTCCAAATAGTTGGTGCTCACTGTCATACAGTTTGCAAAGGAGATCAGGTGAGTGCAGAGATTATAGTAGCCTGGGGAACCTCTTATATCCTACTTCTAAATTCAGGCACAGCTGAGCTTATTTTACTCGTTTCTAAAATTCTCTGGAACCTGGAGTCATTTTTGACCAACATATGTATTTCAACATGCACATTAAACAAATATGTGGAACCGCCTCCGGTCAATAATACTCAAGTGAGTAACATCCTGACTGGAACCTGATAAGGATTCAAAATGGCGCAACAAGAGTACTGGCAGGGACTAAAAAGAGAGAGCATATTTGTCCTATGGCTTCTCTGTATTGGCTCCAGAATCAAATCCCTCTCATAACATACAGGTCTTAAATAATCAGCCCTTTCATACCTTAAAGACCTCATAGTACTTCATTATCCTTACAGAGCACTTCAGTCTCAGACTGCTGGCTTACTTGTGATTTGTAGTTTTCAAAAGTAGAATGGGAGGCAGAGCCTTGTGCAACATTTTGTGTACTTTAGAGAGAACCCCAACAAGCATTTTACCACTTTGGGAACAGAAACTCCCATTTACAGGAAGAAACAGCTTCATGTAGGCAGACAGCTGCCACAACCGGGCAGGGTGGGGGAAGAGAACAGAAAAGCTGAGCTAAAAGATACGCTTCAGTGGCATCTGATCAAGCGGGTTGTGAAAAAATGGGACTGGGGGATAAATGCTCAGTGTGTCACGGTTTACATTTGTAAGAGTACTGATTAAGTGGAGTGGTGCATTTCCATCAATTAAAACAATATTAAATTGACTTCTCCCAAATATAACCATAGAATACTTTTTTTTTTTTTTTTTTTTTTAAAAAGAGCATTTCAGAGTACTAAATGAAAAATGTTAAATTAAAATATTTTTAAATGCATTTTTTTGTGCACAAGATGCAAATCTGGCAAATTAAAGTGTCAAAGGAAAGGCCTTTTTTGTTCTTGCATGTTTGTTTGAGATGGTTGCAGACTTCTTTCACATTCATAACTGAATGAGTCATGCAGCGGTTTTTCTTGGCAGGCCTAAGCTATATTTAAATCAAGAGTTAAACAGTGAGTTTCTTCAGACTGTCATCAAACGGTGTAAGAGAGAGGATTCCAGCTCAGATCCTGAAGCGTTGGTGTTGAACATGAATAGTAAGTCTCTGATTCATCACTTAAAGTTAAAAGTGTTCATACTCAGAAAGGCTCGAATTTAGTTTCTATTTTTCTTTTCATAGACCTGCTACTGTTTACTTTTGGACTATTTGCTCTCGCAGCAGGTGATTCATTCATTCAGCTGTACTAATCTCAAGATTTTTTTTAAAAAGTAGCTCATGTGAGATGTTTTATGGATAATCTGTGTGGTGTTACAGGTGGAAACGGCGTGCAGGTGTTTTATTGCGAGCCTGAAAAATGTGCTCTCAGTGTAATTAGTGTGTATTGCAACGATGAAGCCCTGCTCAATAACGGATCCATGCCAGAGTGCTCTGGTCCTCCTCCACACAGAGCTGTCTGTCAGCATGATGGTCGAGCATTTGTTTCCATGTCTGGGAATGCTCATTGTGAATTTGAAGGGAATAGTGGATACATCACCACAAAAAAATGTTCAGGTATTTACATTTTTTAAAGTTGTTGCTTTTCTTGCAATCATTCATGCCTCTCTTTAATTTCTTTTTCTTTTCTTTTTCTTTTTTTTCATTGCACTGAAAATAACAGATTTCTTTCACTAGTGTCAGAAATTTGACCAGCTTTGGAAAAATCTACAATAGCCCACTTGTGTGCTCAGAAAGATGGCGGATGTTGAAGAATTTTAAGCTCTTATTCGGGTTTTTATTTACTTCCATTTGTATTTAAACAATCTCATAAAATAACACATGATTCTGATCACGCTAGAGGAGCTGAGTGAGGAAAACAGTGGATTGAGTTGTGCCACCCTTGCTGATAATGGTCAAAGATTTCCAGTTTATTCTGTTTCTATATCTTCTGCATCTTTTCTACTCTTACTAAGTTGACGTTTATTTATGGAACGCATATACGTAACCAACAACAGTGAAACTGATGCCACTGTTGATAACTACTTTCTGTTAGAAGATATTCATTTACTGAAGATGTCCGAGAACTTATTTTCTACACTTAAAAGGTTGAAACTTTGATTGTGAAAGAAATCTCAACTCATGATTGCAGTTGTTGTTGCTGGCAAGGGTTGCACAACTAATTATTAGGCTTAGAGTGAAAGTACTTCTACACACAGAGCCAGATAAGTTCTTATAGCTTTTTTTCCCATGATAAATGAAATCATTTCAGAACTGCATTTTCTTCTGGGTATCGTTGTCTAATATTTAATTTGTTTTATTATCTGAAACATTTCAGTGTGAAAAATATGGAAAATAACTAAGAAATCAGAAAGTGGGCAAAGACATTTTGACTGCACTGTATAAAATCCCCTTTTTGTTAGAGTCATATTTATTCTGCCATATAAACCGTGAGCTGACTAATGTTGATACTTACTGCAAATAAGAATCTGACACAATGTACATTTTCTTGACCTTTTCTGATCTCTCTGATTTCTCAAATAGACCTCAGCAACCTGTGCTCTTTCACTGGAAGTAAGTGCAGACCTTTCATCTGCTTCTCATTATTTTAACTTTTCACT